AGGTCTCTGGGTAAGAAAACGTTGACTAAACTCTAAATATGAAAAAAGCACATTAGCATTTAAAGAATGCTGTATAAAATTAACAACTACAAGTCATGTACTAGAAACAAATGCTCAACAAAAAAATACTAAAATAAACGAAATGTAAACATTTATGTCACGAAGCAATAAGATAAGAACTCGCTTTTAAACTGACAACGTGCAAGTATTATTTTGACCACTGCACCTGTGGCGACTGCAGCAAGTTGCAGGGCCTAAATAGCCACAAATTAAGAGTAGTCAGAGCTGGTGTGAGACACTGGGGTCAGGTGAAAAGTGAGGATAGGGTTTGAGGACTGTAAGGATTTGGTCCCACATTAAAATGGCTTCCTTGGAGGATTCGCAGTGCGCGAGTGGGTGGCCAGAAGCTTTGATTCAGTTCAATGCACAAACCCCCGCCTCCTCCTCTTCCTCACATGAATCCTGGTCGAAAATACAATACAACACCTAAAAGCATTCAGCACAGCACGAGTTTACTATCAGCTACAGTTCAACACGTTTCACCTGCAACATGCGAGGGGTGTAAGTTAAAACATAACTTAAAACCGCATAAGAACTAAATGAGACAAAGCTTTATGCAAAAAAAGGACTGCTCAAATGCAAATGTCCGTTCGGTCCTAAACAAGAGGCAGTTATCGAGCTATTGTTATTCAGGATGAGCAGCCAGGATGCCTCGTTAACATCAATGAAGGGACATTATGGAGGAGTCACTGATGGACTCCTTTAACCGTCCTAATAGCCCACGGCAAACCAAAAGAAATGAACTAAGTTAGCTTTTAATACAAACTTTAAAACACCAAAATGAAAGTTAAACACCTAAGTGGGAATTGTGATATCGATTGAAATGCGGTAGGTAGTTCACAGTTCACAGATGGAAGAAAATGTGCACACAGAGTGGAGAGTAAGATATCAAGTCATACGCTTGTAGAAGTAACTGTATGAAGCTAATATGATGTTAGCAAAGAAATCACTCGTCAGAACGCATACAATACTAAACGTTATACAGTGCCAAATGTGTAACACTAATAACTATATAATCTTTGAGAACGTGGCTGTGATATACATTATACACTCATGGCACGTTTTGTTACCACTCTGGGATAATCTACTCTTCAAAATGCAGCTGACAAACCTCGCGAACTACAGCTTAGCCAGCTAGCAAGTGAGGTACAGCTGCAGCTGCTTCAGTCAATGACACACTACCAAACGACTCGTTTCTCCGTAGAGAAAATCTCTAATACTCCACCCCAGCCTGTACTAGACAACAATGCCCGTCGTTACAGATGTGCCATTATTTATTTCAGTGGGAAAATAAACCTGTTTAGAGCATCTTCGTTACTCCCGATCTGTTTTGAGGAGCTTGCGGGAAACTCTCTCATCCCAATCAGCGCCAAAAATACTCACATCCGATTGGCTGACACGCGACTGCACAATTCAACCGGCCTTTTCAAATATCTCTCTGTTCGCGGCGGACTCTCCGACGAACATCGTCACTTATCCTCGGCGTACTCCAAACTCCATCGCGGGCCCGTGGGTACAGACAAAGCCATGCAATTCTCAGATCACCTGTTTTTGTTTTTATTTCAAAAAATGGCAAAGCGACACAGATCACTGCTCGAGGAATTGAGGAGGGCAATTCTCACCATCTGACGTCAGCTGCTAGAGAGGGAGGGAATTTGTTATCTTGTTGCCAGTTGTTCGTAGAAAATCCGACAAGGTGCAATGCTGTTGGTTTCAAACAGGGCAAACATTATTTGCCGTTTGTTATTTGTATTTTTGGCAAAATATAAAGTGTGATCGACGTGTGTAATTTATACCTTAAATATATGTGTGTCCTTATGTAGTTAATGTTTTTGAAGACATCGAAGGTTTGGAAGATAAAGAAAGTGTCTGGCAACCAGAAAATAAGCGCGCCATACAGTGTTGCCATATCCGCTTATTATAAACGACTTTGGCCACGTTTCTTATCAAGTGGCCTAGATATGGGCCTATACTATATACAGTTGAAGTCAAAATTATTTACCAACCTGAAATATTAGCCCCCTTGTTAATTTTTTTCCCCTAATTTCTGTTTAACGGCGAGAAGACTTTTCTAGACACATTTCTAAACATAATAGTTTTAATAACTCATTTCTAACATTTGATTTAATTTATCTTTGCCATGATAACAGAAAATAATATTTGAATAAATATTTTTCAAGACACTTCTATACAGCTTAAAGTGACATTTAAAGGCCTAACTAGGTTAAATAGGATAACTAGGCATGTTAGGGTAATTAGGCTATCAAATATAAACAAATAAATAAAAAATTAGCCTAAAGGGGTTTACATTTTGGCCTTAAAATGTTTTTTTTTTTATTTAAAGCTGCTTTTATTCTAGCCGAAATTAAACAAATAAAACTTTCTCCAGAATTTTTTTCCTTTATATTATCAGACATACAGTGAACATTTCCTTGCTCTGTTGTTAAACATCATTAAAGAAATATTTAAACAATAAAAAAAAAATCAAAGGGGGGCTAATAACTCTGACTTCAACTGTATATATGTGTATTCACATGGGTAATGTACCCGAAAATAAATTGTGATCATGTATTAAGATGACTGTATGTGAAGCATTTATTTATTTATTTTAAACGATACAGCCAATACACCTCCATTGCATCAAGTGCAATGTTTTAATTATCATTTATGCCAGAGGTGCCAAAACTTTTTCTTATGAAAGGCCAAAAACTAAACTTGATTGAGGCTGGTAGGCCAGAGGTAAATATACCAAACCGTAAAGTTGTCAATGTGATTTCCTAATTTGTTATTATAATTCATTATATAATTTATTATATTTATTCATTCATTCATTTATTTTATTTTCGGTTTTGTCCCTTTATTAATCATGGGTTGCCACAGCAGAATGAACTGCCAACTTAACCAGCATATGTTTTACGCAGTGGATGCCCTTCCAGTCACAACCCAACACCAGGAAACACCCATGCAGTCTTGCATTCACACGCATACACTACAGCCAATTTAGCTTATTCAGTTCACCTATAGCACATGTCTTTGGATTGTGGGGGAAACAGCCGGAGGAAACCCACACGATCACAGGGAGAACATACAAACTCTACACAAAAATGCCAGCTGAACCAGCCGGTACTCGAATCAGCGACCTTCTTGCTGTGAGGCGAGTGCTACCTACTGCGTCACCGTGCTGCCCAGTACTATAATTTATTACATTTAAAATACTTTGATTGTATTAATAATTATACATTTTAAAATGAACATATTATAATAAAAAAAACATGAAATTTTTTTTAAATAACACTAACAATACACTTTACCTTAATTCGCTTGTCTTCTGCCATGTACGCTATCTATCAAATGACTGTATTTATTTATTTCAAATCTGATTCATTTACAACATTTAATTGAAACATTCAATTTCAGTTTGCTTTTTTGTAGCTCAATAGTTAAACAAAAAGTTATGTTAAATTAAAATGACAATCTCTGTTAAAGGCATTCCACCCAAAAATTCCCCATCATTCTCTCTCTTCTCAGATAGGATGGAGTGCAAAATCAAAAGTTACCGTTTGCCAACTTTGGCCTGCGGGTCCTAGTTTGAGCATCTCTGATTTATGCTAGGGGGCGAAGCAGTGGCGCAGTAGGTAGTGCTGTCGCCTCACAGCAAGAAGGTCGCTGGTTCGAGCCTCGGCTCAGTTGGCGTTTCTGTGTGGAGTTTGCATGTTCTCCCTGCGTTCGCGTGGCTTTCCTTCAGGTGCTCCGTTTTTCCCCCACAGTCCAAAGACATGCGGTACAGGTGAATTAGGTTGGCTAAATTGTCCGTAGTGTATGAGTGTGTGTGTGGATGTTTCCCAGAGATGGGTTGTGGCTGGCGGTTCATTCCGCTGTGCCGACCCCAGATTAATAAAGGGACTAAGACGACAAGAAAATGAATGAATGAATGATTTCTGCTAAAAGTAAGTAGACAGGTGAATCACACAATGAATGCCCATGGATGTAAATAAAAACCTGAAGTTGTTTATTATTAATATTTATTTTCTTGAAATAAGTCACATATTTAAATAGTGTTTTATTAAAGATTTACAATCTTTTCAGTGCCACATGCCTCTAAATATTATATATATATATATATATATATATATATATATACATTATAAATCACTTACATTATTTATTTATAATCATTATAGTGCAGTAGTTAGTAATCAAAACTATGTTTTAATGTAGTATTTTTATATTGCAATCAACTTTTGCATAACGTATATTACGTAACATTTGTATGCATTACATTGCAACTTCCTAGTGATTATTTGGTATCATTGTATTATTTTAATTCTTTTCTACCATACAGTTTATTTATGTAATACAATGGTTGTGGTTGATTATTTCGATCAAAAAAAATTTTTTTTCATGCTTTTCCACTGATCCCACAGCACTCCCTTGTGGCCCTGAAGTTCCCTGTACTCTAACGTTAGTTTGAAACCCCATAAAGACCAGTTTGCTTGTTTTTTTTACGGATATCTGGCAACATTGGCGCCAAGACCTATATAATAGACATGGCTGGTCAGGGTTCACAAACCATCAAAATGACTGCTGTTTCGAAAAGGTTTACAACAATTTCCTTCCACGTTCCTTGACGATTATTCATTTATTTTCAAAACAGTTGCTTTTATTAATCAATCCTAAATTTTCATCACTTACTTGAATTGGTCATTGCTAACTACTAAACGTGTACCATTTAAGTACCTGTACATCATCGTCCAGAAATGCTTTCGAATACCTGTCCTAAATGATATAAACACATCCTCTTTTGGTTTACCAATAAAGCCCTATATATTATTTTATTCCTGTCCGGCCCCAGCCTCATGATTGGTGGCGATGTCCCGCTTCTTCTCGGTCAGTCACGTCACTCATGAGCTGCGGCTGTACCGCGCCCCCTGCTGGTGGAGCTCTATCTACAGGAAGACGGAAGCAAACGCCGAGCGCCTGCAAACTCATCGCTTGAATCACCGAGGAGGGCACAAGGACATGAACCAAGAGCTCGGGACTATGACTTCTGTGGATAGTTCATAAACCGCCAGCCTATTACCTTATTACGTCCTCCCAGCGTTACTGTAAACCTTACATTAACGTTTGACGCCGTTGCATCCACACAGACAGGAACAGAATGGCATCGATTTTGCTCACCAGATCTCGGACTCCGTTGTTGAAAACATCCAGGTCATTAAAGAACGAATTCAGAAAAGGTAATACTGCCTTTTAAATGTTAAAGGGGGTAGATAAGTGTGTGGGTTATTTGATCATTTTGAACACACAAATGGCTAACCGTAAAATTTCTACCGTATGTATTATGATAATTATGAAGCATTAACCAACTGTCAAATAGTAACGTAACTGATGTAGGCGTATAGTAACCGGTTTTGTTTTATTTACACAGCTAAAGCAGTCAAGGCCTTGTGACTTTAATATTCTCAACTTCGTTATTGATTTCAGATGTTTCCAAAACCTGCCATGTGTTTTCTGTGAAATCATGTGTAAATCAGAATAGTTCTCAATCCTCGGACTCGAGATTATTAAACGACCGGTTAAACGAGGGGCTTAAGTGATTAGCTAACAAGCTAACCGTGTAGCCTCACAAATTGAAGCAGTCATAATCACCGAGAAGGGTCTGACTGAAATGTGTTGATGTGCTGAATGTTAGGGATGAGTCCAGCAGGCACAGGTAATGGAGGATCACTGTAACTGTAGGTCTGTGTCACTGGCACACGTGCTCGCGCTTTTGTGTCATCATGCTCTGTTACTGTAAGTCATTTCTGGAAAATAACAGTGCGGTGACCGTTGTTGACCGCTGGCTGGTTTGTCTGCTCATTGTTATGGTCAACATGCGAGTCCTTTCCACGCTTTTGAAGAAACGTTTCGTTTAATTACTAGTTCTGTGTTTTATGTTATGACTTTAGTCATAGTTTCTTAACTGAAAATCATTGCTGCTTACATATCCAGATCCTGTCTGAGAACGTTAACTCCATAAAACTGAAATCTCTAAGGAAAATCATTTTAATGTATGTAAATCTGTCTGTAAATAGTTCTGTGTGTTTGTACTTTGTAGTTTATGTTATGCACCTGTATGTCGTCATGTTTTGCTCAGACTGGAGAACAGTCATGTTGTAGCCTTGTGTTGGAGGTTATCTGAGGACAGACTCCTCCTCCGTCTCAGTCACTTTAATGGCTGCTTCTTTATATGCCTGTCATAGTAAATCATCACTCATAGACGTTATAATAATAGCTGTCTTTCATGACTTGAATTTTTGAATCTTTAATGTCAACAGAATATGAAGTAAGCCTGAATAAAATGGGTTTATGGCACCTAGGGCTGCTTGATATATTGCAAAAATGTGATATTGCGATATTTTATTTTTCTGTGATAAATATTGCGATACGAGTAGAGTTTCAGAAGATGACTTAAATAGCACTATTTGGCAGATTTCTGGGAAGTCTAACAGTATTCAGATACAGAAATTAAATAATCACAATGCAAAACAATGCTTTTCTTACCTTTATTTTGTTAAAATATAAAAAAAAATCCTATAAATACAGCGGTTAAATACAATTTTGTATCTACAGGTCAACTATAATTCGGACTGGACATTGCATATCTTTGCGATGTGACTATTGTGGATGTGCACATTGCGATATTGATGCTGAAGTGATATTTTGTTCAGACTTAATGGCACCGATCAATGCTTGTTGGGTGGAAATTTAGATTAATTAATTTGATATTTAAAAAGATTAAATCGGTGGACCTTTGCTTATTTATTTATTTATTTATTGCATTTTTGAGTACTTATGCACAGAAATGACACTGTCTTCAAAATGGTCTGCTAAATGACTAAAATACTGTATCCCAGGTCAAAAGTTGGCAATAGAGAATGGGAATCTATGGCATGCCAAGTTGTGCTCCACCATGTTTTTGGACACATTAAGTAGCGCACAATGTAAACTAATACAAGTCAGACTTTTTATAGTAATATTGTTTGTATGTTTATAAATGCTCTTTGTGTGTCTGGGAAGCTGAAAATATGCGTTTCAGCATATGCAGTCTCCAGCGCTGAAGTGGATCAAATAAATGAACAGTTTTACCTGTAAGTGTCAGAATATGAACAATCTGCCACAAAAACAATTCCAATACATTATTTGCTTCTTTATTTTGTAGTGTCAGTGTTTACAATTTATTGCTGATGAACAGAAATATTGTGTATGATGCAGTAAATTGATCAAAGGGTATTAGGATCCCATATCCTAAATATCTGTAATGCATTGTGCTGTAACAACACATTCCCATTCTCTGTAGAGTCCTGTAATCTGCCATAGAATGCAACATATGTAATCTCAAAGGTAAAAACCTTTCCACATATTTCCATTTTTTTTCACATATTTTGCACAAAATGTATTCGTAATAACTGATAATGCTTTAAGAACTTGTTTGATTTGTTTGGAAAATGTTGGAAAATGCTTAATGTTGCATGTTAGTTTTCACAAAATCACTTTTTTTTACACAGGCACGATATAGGCATTGATTTCAGAAACTTGTACTCTGAAACCCTTTTTTAAAGGTTTGCAAAATGTCATTGTGAAATTGAAAGTTTTTTTGTATATTTTGTTGATCATGTAAACATCATTGGTCATTAATTGAATGGGGAAATAATAAATCATAAGAAGAGTCATCTAAGTGGATTGGGAACTTGCCCATCAAATGAGTCTAAAAAGTACAAATGCATTTAATTCGGACTTTATTGGATAACCATACATTTGCAAAATTCAAACCATACTTTGTGGGTTGTTTGCTTTAAATTACACAGCTCAAGTAATTAGGACCACCAATCTCCTCATCGTGTAGCTATAGCAAGTTCTGGCCGTGTACCTTGTCTAAATGAAACACAGTGAATGATCTTTTGCCTACTTTCTCAACCACAGCATTACTGCCACGGTATCTAATTGATTTCGAAATATACTTGAAGTGCTTCCTGAGAAACCTTAGTGAGTCCCATGTGAGGACTTTCTTTCTTGCAGTGGTCTGACAAATGATTAACCACAGCTCTGCATGACAGCCTATAAATTAGAGGTCTGATCTGCAAATGCATTGTTAGGTAAACAAATGATACCATGAAAAGCTTTCACAACGTTAAGCCTTTGGATTGACAATGTTGATTACTTGATTATTAAAGATAAAGCACATCCTGTTATTAAGAGGGTAAGAAGATGGCAGAATAGTTTTAATATTGTGTATATGTAGCATTAGTTTAAACGGTCAAAAAGAGTTTACACAAACAGGGATATCTCCAATGGAGTCTTAACCTACATTGTGTCTTGCCAGAGATGGGGTTTTCTTATCTGGATACTGGATACAATCCCCAAGCTTCTACAAAGCTGGTTAAAGGTGCCAGCACAGATTGTGATTTGGCACAGGCAAACAATTTGGGATGAAGGGCAAATGTTGTGTATGTCAGGTGAACAGAAGTCCAAGTTTGAGTGGGTCTGTTCTTAATTTTCAATACATTTCAGTGTTTCCTCTAGGAATTTTTCCAGCTGTGGCGGCAGGTCTTTTCTACAAATCTACCAACTACCTATGGCATTATTTCAATGACAAATGGAGAAATGTTGTGAGCGCAGTATTACAAGCAGAGATTGCATTTATGCAGTATGAGCATACAAATCTCTTTGCTTGCGCGCCGATTTCCTCTGTTCGTGCACAAAACTTTTCTTCTTGTGCGATTCCAAATAAACCCTGCTGAAGTGCAGTTAATGTAACAAGTATGTTTCCATTATTTTTTAAGATTTGCTGTTTATAAATTTCTCCAATAGATCTACAGAGTGGCAATAATGCGCCCTGAAGTAAAGTGAAAATGCAATAAACTCCAGCAAGATAAAAGAAGGTTCTTTGTATGCAGAACCACAGACCTTTATCTATAAATAAAGTATAATTATGGAATCTGTGTTCATCTTAACTGAAAGCTACGTCGTGTTTGCTTGCCTCACGCATCATGCTCCTGTCAGTCAGTCAGCACGTCACCAAGGCTTATTTATACTTCTGCATCAAACGCCGGCGTATGCTACGGCGCTGACGCATAGCCCTTCGTCGTGGCCGTCGCCGTCACTGACGTGCACCTCTCAAAAAATGTAACTATACGTCGCAACGACACGTAGCGTAAGCTCTGTGATTGGTCGGCTTGGTAGCGCTGACGAGTCTGGGCGGGACCGAGAGCCGCACGAATGGCGCGAGCGATTGTTTACAAGCTGTGGAGTCCCGTGAAGGAGCTCCGGATGGAAAGATTTGTTTTGTGTTTACCTCATAGTTAAAGCTGTTGCACGTCCGCCGGTTCCTGCCTCAAAATGAGCGAGTTTGAGCCACTTGTACATCCCGGAAGTGTTCAGGAAACGCCAAAAAGCAGCGAAGAAACTCGACACAGAGGAACATTTACACCTCACTGCCAACTAGCGTTTCGGAAGTGTTAATGCAGACCAACAGAGACAGTGCGCAGAAGTATAAATGCACAGCCACGCGGGTTGCATGCGCCGTGGGTTACGCCGGTCACCTGACGCAGAAGTATAAATCAGGCTTTAAAGGGTTAAACAAATAACGCACAGGACTACTACGGTTACAGAAAAGTTTGCGCTGTTATAATTCACCTACCTTTTAATGCGTTTGGTGTAATGGTAACCCGCTATTAAAAAAACAACAACAATGACTGAATGTTTTGAGAGAGAAGCTGTAATGTAGCCGTGGTGGGATTAATTTTGGTATGGCGCCCCACCCTGGCAGAATGAATGTAGTGGAAAACATGCATATATTTTTAATGACAAATGATCACCTGTTGATCATCTGTGAGCAAACCAAATGGTTTTGCTGTTGATTTTATACGCTAAAAAAAATTTTTTTTACTGCTTTCAGGTTAGGTCAGTTTATCAAGAAATTAATTTGAAGTCCTTAACCTAGTTTCTAGACAGAAATGTGGTATTTCTGTGGGACTTGGTCTGTTCCACTCAGAAAGTTTTATCATTCTGTCATAGGAGCTGCTGCTTCTGATAAGACACTTGCAAAAAGAACTTCAACCGTGAATGCTGACAGAGTCAGTCACTATCGGTGAGGTTTCATAGAGCATGGACAACCTTCTCTAGTAATAAACTGTGTATATGTTTTTTTTTTTGCCATTGTAACAGATTTTGACGGACTATACGTGTCAAAGGCATG